CCCTCCCCCTCCCCCTCCCCTCCTCCCCCCCCCCCCACCACCCACACACACCACCAACTACGTCATGGACAGGTCAAGAGCCACCCCGCCCCTGCCAGACCTCCCGCCGCCTGCCCCTCCTCCGACCTCGCACGCTCCGTCGCACTTGGCCCCGACGCGGACTCAGCTTCAGAGTCATCGTCAGAGTACTGCCACGACGACGACGACCAGCTGGTGCTGTATGCGTCATCGGCATCGGCATCGGCTTCGGCCTCGGCCTCGGGCTCTGTCTCGGGCTCTGTCTCAGGATCTGACTCTGTTTCAGGCTCTATCTGGGACGACGATGATGACGATGGTGGCCTGCCGCCGCCGGTGCCCGACTCAGCCCCGCCACAGTCGGGTCGCCGCCCATCAGAGCTGGCGGCAGCGGCAGTGGCAGTGGCAAAGGCGGCGGCGGCACTGGCAAGTGAGGGAGAGTCTGGCTCTGGATCCGACACGCCACTGGCCGGCGAGCAGCCACAGAGCCAGCTCTCGTTTGCAGCCGTTGTCCAGCTCCGGCTCACCGTCCGCAAGGCTCGGCGCCGGCTGTTTGGAAAGTCGCTCAAGGTGGCGGCCGAGCAGGTGGCAGCATCCAACAAGGAGCTGAGCGACTTTCTGGAATCGATCGACATGGGCCAGTACTTTGCGCTCCTGCTCTCGGCCGGCTCGGGCACTGCCAGGCTGGAGCACCTGACTGAGGATGATTTGGAAGCCATCGGCATTGCGGACGTTACCCACCGTGAGGCTATTCTGGGCGCTATTGCCGCCCGCCGCCGTGACCGCACTAGCTGCAATGCCTCGGCTGCTGCCGACGAAACCGTCGCTGCGGGAGACGACCTTGATGATCAAGCCGGCTACCTTGCCGCGCCAACCAGACCGCGATCGCGTGCGGCCGCCCTGGCTGCGGAAGAGTGTGGCGCTGCGAGCGGCGACGGATCCGGGCTTGGCATGCGGACGCACTCCTTCTCGTCCAACGCCGAGCTCGGTGAGAGCTCGGTTGTGCTCGAGTCGCTGCGGGCCGAGTTCCGGTCAGCGGCCGAATTTGAAAAGTACGCCACCAAGCGGAAGAACATCGCGACCGAGATGCTGACGACTGAGGAGGCGTATGTGGCGGCCCTCGACAAGATGCGGTCGTTTCTGGAGCCGCTGCAGATTCCTGCGGTCTTGCGGCAGGCGGCCGACTCGCCGTTTCTGCGCGTCGCATTTGTACCAGGCCTGGCGGCGGCAGTGGCGGCGCCAGTGCTGTCGCGACACGCTGCACTCATGCCTGGGGCGCCTGCTGAGGGCGCTCCGGCTGTGCCGAGCATCCCGATCGAGGACCTGAAGACGCTTGCCTCGAACCTGGCCGAGCTCATCGACATCCACGTCGGAATTGCGCGGTCGCTTCGGGCTCGAATCGAGAGTTGGAACGTGGCGTCGTGTGTTGGCGATGTGTTTCTGGGCAAGGCCGAGCTGTTCCGGCGGTACACTCAGTTTGTGCTGGGCTACGACGACGCACTCGCAACGTTCAACAGACTGGTGGCCGACGACCCGGTGTTTGCAAGCTACGCCGAGGCGTTTCGAGCCGATGCCAACCGCGGCGGCCTCCTCCCGTTTTCATCGTTTCTTCTGCAGCCGGTCCAGCGGATCATGCGCTACCCGCTGCTTCTGGCCTCGCTTGTTGACCACACCCGGCCGTCGCATCCGGACTACCCCGCGCTCTGCTCGGCGCTGGTCCAGACCACCGAGGTCGCGCACTTTGTCGACCGGCAGGAGAAGAACTGGCGGAGAGTCAAGCTCCTCGAGTCGCACATGGTTGGTCTGCCCGGCGATCATCTGGCGGTCAGCGGCCGGCGGCTGGTTGTCGAGTCGTGGCTCCGCGTCGAGACCTACATCCGCTATCAGCGGCGGTACTGCCTCCTCTTCAACGACATGCTGGTGGTGACCAAGTCGCGGAGCGGTGGCGAGCGTCTTGTTGTCCAGGCCGTTTTTCCCATGGCAGACCTCGCTGCGGTCGCGGTTGCCTTTCGTGCCGAGGCCCACGCCAACGGCGTCATCCCGCCGCCGTCGCTCTCGCTCGTCTCGGAAATCCCCATGGAGGATCCCGAGTCCGAGTCCGAGTATGCCAAGTTCAAGCTTGTCGACCGGCGCAGCGGCTCGGAGGTCACCTGGGTCCTCGCTGCCAAGACACAGACTATTCGTGAGGAGTGGCTCTCCAACATCCGCTCGGTTTGGCGCCGCCATGTCCGCGAGGCGCTTGCCTCGTCGTCGCTGATAGGCTGATGCGCTGTGCGAGTGTTAACCTTGTGCCGGCTGGTACGCGCCTCGGACAACGGTGAGCGCCGGGAAGGTGACCCGCGCTGTGGTCGCCACACGCTCCAGCCGCTGGCAAAACTCGGTCACCGGAACCGGCAGCGCTCCGAGGACGAGCTCTTGCAGGGTGTGGTTCGACTCGAGGAGCGAGAGCATGGCCTCGGCACCGTCAGCGCCCATCGGATTGCGTGAGATGTCGAGCGTGAGCAGATGCTCGTTTGGCGCCACGTGCAGCGCGAGTGCGACGGCGCCGATGCTTCCGATCGCGTTGCCACACAGATCCAGCCGTGCAATCGTCCGCCGCGCTCGCTTGTGCGCGATGAGCTGCGCGAGCGCCTGAGCCCCACGGTCGCCGATGCGGTTGTGCGCAAGGTTGAGGAGGTGGACCAGGGGGCCGTGTGGCGCCTTGGGCTTGGTCTTGCGTGCAAGCGCCACCACATCGGCCGTTGAGTCGCCCGCCCTCGCGCCCTTTGGCGCCGATGCCGAGTCGGGGTCAGAGTCGGAGCTCGTACTTGACGTCGAGGAGCCCAGGCTCGAGCCTGAGTCTGAGTCCGAGCCCGAGTCCGAGCTGGACGAACCGGACGAGCTCGTAGTCGCCGTCTCTTCCTGTTCCTCATCAAACGTGCCACTCGACGAAAGCGACGAGCTCTGGCCTGCGTCCGGCGCTGCCGTCTTTGCTTTGGTCTTGGCCTTGGTCTTCCCCTTCCCCTTCTTCTTGCCCTTGTGTAGCGTTGGAGATGGCTCGGTGTCGCTCAGCTCCAACTCCAGATCACCCGATCCAGCGGCAGCACCCGAGTCTGAGCCATCTGCACCTAGATGGCGCTCGCTGTCGTTGTCGGACTCAGCCTCGGCGTTGCTGTCACCAGCAAGGTCTGTGCCGGAGCAGGCAGCGGTGTAGAGAGCGATCATGCCATTGTCCGAGATGAGGTTGTGCGAGGCGTCGAGCCAGAGCAGCGACGGGTTGGAGGTGAGGAGGTGGGCGAGAGCCTCCATGCCAGCGTCGGAGATCGCGTTTCGGGCACACGCCAGCTCTTGCAGACTCGAGTTTCCAAGGGCATTGCAGAGAGTGGTGATGCCCTTGTCACCAAGGCGGTTGCCTGAGACATCAAGGACGCGCAGGGTCGACTTTTCGCCGAGGGCGGTGGCAGCGATGGCGATCTCATCGGGTCCGAGCGAAGCGTTGCGGAGCGAGACAGTGCGGAGCTGGTAAAAGTGGTCGCCCATGGAGAGCGCAATCTGGACGGCAACCATCTCTCGCATGCCAAGCGGACGGTTGTCTAGGGCGAGGAGTTCGACGTCTTGCTGCGAAAGGCTTCCAGAATGCGCGAATCGTCGCAGGAGCGCGCGTTGGCCACCATGGTCTTGAGCGACTCGTTGACGGCAATGTTGACCGAAAGCCCATTCTTCCACTCGGCGACCTCGTCGAGCGACTCGGCCAGAAAGTAGTAGTCCTTGCGGTTCTGCATGCGTAGGTGGATGCAAAAGGCCGGGATGGCAGTGTTGGGGATGCCGATGGTGGAGGCTTGCGAGCCGGAGACCTCATTAACGACGCAGCCTTCAAGGGCGATGCGGCCGCGTGGCTCTTGGTCGTTCTTGTTGTTCCGATACTCGAGATGGAACGGAGTGAGCGTGAGCCAGAGCTTGGTCCATGTCTTGCGCCGCTTCTCGCGCTTTAGCAGATAGCCGTACTTGAAGTATGCGCCGCGGCGTGAGCCGGTCAGCTGCGAGACCTCATCGGCTAGCGCTTGCTCGGCGGCGGTCCGTCGGTTCTTGACCTTGCGGGTGTTGAGGACGGCCGAGACGGTGGTAGCTGGAGCGGGCTTGGTCCCAAGCATGCCGCCCGACGCCGATGCGTTGAGGTCCGTCGCCTTGCGGAGGAGATCCATCGAGCTCTCGGTCGACGACAGCCGGAGCTGCAGATTCTCCTTGAACGCCTCCATGCCGTTGAATAGCTGGGCGGCGCGGAGAGTGCGCGCTTGCTCCAGACGCAGTGCGGCGTTAGCATCGGCGGCAGCGGCCCGCCAGTACGCGACCTGATCGGCGAGGTCGTTCATGCCGTCGGCCGCCAGCGCGGTGGCCGACGTCCCGAGCTTGGCCACCTGTGCCGTCGACCATTTGGCCAGCGCGGCGTACTCGGCGTGGAGCTCGCGAACTTCAGCGTGGACGCGATGCATGAGTGTTTCATACATGCAGCACGGACCAGCTCGGTTGCCGGCCTCGTCGAGGCCTGTGATGGCGGTGAGGTCGTCGGTCGGTGCAAGCTCGATCCGCCCGGTTGCCAACAGCGTCTGCAGCAGCTCGCGCTCGCGGGCATGGAGGTCGATGACCAGTTCACCAGGCGCGGCCGGCAGCTCACGGCTCCCGGCCCGACGCGCGGCGACCGCTGAGGCCTTGATGCGGTCGGCAATGGCGAGCATCGAGCCCATGCCCACGCCCTTGTCAGCTGCCGCCGCAATGGCAGTCTTTTTTCCAGCACCGAGCCGACCGCGGCGGCGACCGATCGCGCGGCGTTCTGGTACGGGTGCGAGAGCGAGAGGGTCCGAGTTCGAGTCCGGCCGCGACGGCCACCGCTCACCTCGTCGCCGGTCTCGTCGGCAGCGTCTCCAGCAGCGAGTGACGAGACGGCAGCCGACGGCGTCGACGCCTGCCATGCAGCCAGGGCGGTCTTGGCAGCGTCCAGCTTACTGTCGGCCTCAGCGTCGGGCAGCGCCGCAAGGCCGTCGCCCAGTACGCCCGGATCGATGTCGAGGGCGGAGCAGAGGACCGGGAGAAGCGCAGCCTTATGCTCGGCGACTTCCAGCCGAGCCTCGAGCCTGGCCTTGGAGGCAGCCAGGGCGGCGGCCTCGGCCTTGGTACTTGTCAGCGCATGCTGCAAGCTCGCCTTGCTCTCCTGCAGCTTGGCGTGGGCGTCGGCGGCGGCGGTGGCGGTCAGATGGGAGGCCTGGACCTCATGGGCAAGTCTGCGGGCGCGCGAGGTCTCGGCCTCGAGCTCGGTCTCGAGCGAGGCAACTCGAGTTTCGAGGGCTGCAAACTCGTCGGCCGAGTGGGCGAGCTTGCCCTTGCGGAGGGCGGCCTCTGCGCCGCGAAAGTAGGTGACGTATGTCATGATGGAAAACGGGTCCGGGTCCTCGACGACGTCGGCGGCTTCGATGAGCTCGGGAATGCCGAGCTGGGTGTGTGCGATGCGGAGGACGGCCTCGACGATGGCCATCGGGCTAGAGCTGTCACCGACCAGCTCTGCGTAAGTGGTGGCGTCGGGTGCAAAGCGGGCGGTGAGGGCGGCGAGGACGCGGCCGTCCTGAAAGGCTGGGCCAAAGTCAGCGACGTCCAGCTCCGGGTCGACAGCGGAAACCTGAGCCCGGACCCAGGCCAGCAGATCGGCCTTGGCCGACTTGCCAGAGCGCAAGACGCGGCTCCCGGGCGCGGCGGCGCCGTCGGACCCGTCGTCGGTATCTACGGCGTCCGAGCCGTCTGCAGCGGCGGCGTCTGCGGTTGACTTGATGTGGTACTTGAGGATCATGACCCACAGCAGGCCCAGCACCATCTTGACATTGCCAGCGTAGACATCGCTTGCAGCGGCAGTGACCGGCACGCCGTCGGCGTCGAGGGCGTCGAGGGCGGCCGAGATGTTGGCCATCTTCTGGATCTTGAGCCGCGGGTGCGGAGCGATGCGGCCGACTGAGACCCGGCCAGCGACCAGATGCGGGACGAGAGCGCCGAGTGCCACGCCGTCGGAGAGCGCCCGGAGAGTGGTGACCGAGCCGGCCAGCGGCGAGCCGGCGCCGGCCAGCTTCGCGTTGAACCAGCCGAGGAAGGCCCGCCGCTGCTTGGGCACCCATGGCGCCAGCGGTTCCTGCTGCGACCGGCCCTCGTCCGAGTACGACGAGCCCGAGCCCGAACCACTTCCAGATACAGCCATGGTGAGCGAGTGGAGTGTGTGTGGAGAGGGGCGGAGAGGGGGAAGAGCGGAGGGGGGGGGGGGGAGGGGGGGAGGGGGAGAGCCTGCGCATGCGCACGCGGAAAAGCTTGCAGGAGTCAACGTGCTTCGCAAAACGAAAAAATCGGTGCGTGAGCTGAGGTGTGCTCGAGGTGTGCGCGAGCTGAGCAGAGAGCAGCGAAGGCAACTACCGGGTACCCATAGCATGCACCGGTAGCTGGTGGCTGCATTGCTCTCACCCAGCTCGCGCACACACTCTGCTACTGCCACATCAGAGCGGTGGATTGGACCAAGAGACCACACATCAACTCTGCCGCAATGATGCGAGTGACGAGGACAGGTCTGTTACTTGCGACGGAAGCGCTTGGTCGGGCGCTCGCCACTGCTGCTGCCACCGCGACCGCGGCCGCGGCCACCACCCCGGCTTCCGCCGCC